TATTTCAACTTTCAAGCTCAGTTTTGTAGAGAGGATACGAGGCCTCTTCACGACTTATGAATAACATCTATACACTTCACATGAAAAACACTTCAGTCAAGGACGTTGTACTTTGGTCTCAATTTTTCTCATAAAGTTATATAGGCCTAAAAATATCTGACGTATTTTACACACATGGAACAGGGCCGTAACTTCGGTATTACGGCTGGGGGGACCTTGTTTTGTCCGACCAAAAGGGCGTGGCCGAAGTCGTGCATGACTGATATTTCAGTCGCTAATGGACGACTTACGTTTTAGAAAAATTTTTAATCTGGGAATAACAAAGGATATTTTCTGAAAGAAGTTATCAAAATTAGAAAAACTGCAAAGTTTGGTTGCGAAATGTTGTAAAATACGGAAAATATAGCCCTGCGAAGTTGGCAAATTTGTGTACATTTCTATTACGTGCGGAAATTGGTAACTAATTTAGTTACCAATTCACGCACGTAATACAAAAGTATACAAATTTGCCAACTTTGAAGGGCTATATTTTCCGTATTTTACAACATTTCGCAACCAAACTTTGTAATATTACTAATTCCAAGACGCTCTTTCCAGCTGCGGTAATAGATTTCGTTGTCCTTACTTAGATTAAAATTTAGTCTAAAGCGCAAGTCGTCCATTAATATTTCTTTTCTCAAAATCGTTGGAGAGCGGGGGTGGGGTGGGGGAAGGAAAATATTTTCGGACATACCATTTTTCATGCACTAACTTTTGAACTAATGCACTGTAATTTCTACAATTTTTCAGTAATATTTTCGTAAATTTATAAAAATTTTCCCTATTTTGAATAAATTATGTAAAATTGTTTGCTCAATTACACATTTTTTGCCCGACGAGCGTGTCACGTTAAAATTGTTGAACTTGCGGCTCGACGAAACTGCAATATTACAATATTGGGGGTGTCCCACCCCCCAACCCCCATGTAGTTACGGCTCAGTGTATGAAGTAGCCAAAAAGATTGAAAACACATTGATGTTCGACGCGGTTAGAAATTGCGACCGCAAATAAAAACTGAGATGAGCTAGCTTATCTCACTGAACTGACATGCTTAGAGTTGAATTACTTCAAATCATAGTCGGCATTGTTTTAATTATGTATAGTTGATTTAACTAGATTAGGTACAATTTTGAGATTAGGATCGAGAAGGTTGTATACATGCCTAAGCTGGAAAACTATTACAGTTTTAGGCGACTCAAGCATAATAAAAAACTATTTAAACTTATATTTGCGCCTTATTTCATTATGTCTTTGAAAAATAACTCGTGCATGTTTGATCCAAATTGCATTCGAAATCATGCTATTACCTATACAATTATTGTTAATTCGAAATAAGGCAAAAAAGTGTAGCAAAATTCTTGACTGAGCCCACAATGCCATGCTATGAATACTCAGCGACATGACCATTTTTCTGTGCAATTTCCTGTCGTGGCTAAGCCCACTTCTTTTCGGATCAATCATAAATTCGACCGAGTCTGCTTATAACACTGACTCACAGAGGAACTATAAAACAGCTCAATCATATATATGAGTTTTGGCGTTTTGCGGTCCGGCAAATCACAACTGAACTGCAATCTTCTGAATAACAAAAACAAGTCATGTAAAAAGTATATATAGCTAGCTATACTGTTATTAATTTTAATAGATTTTTGGGCATCTCACTAGATTGCATGAATTGAATGTTCATGTGCAAATTTTATACATTTATTCAGACCCAGTTATTTAGACCTAACAAAAGCAGCTGTTTTTTCATATTATTCTTCTAACACAAGGTTTACATTTTTGCGACGAAGGATCACTTATAAAGTGAACGAATATACATACACGTATACAGTCTGAAGTCACACGTCGCAGAAATGTTAAGGTTGCTATGAATTGCATGCGCCAATTATTGGCATTATTGCCGGGATGTTACAATAATCTCAGCATCATATTTTGATACTAAAAATCGAACATGCAGTGTGCCTTTAGTAATGTGAATAAGTTAAATGTTAAAAATTAATGCTTTATGATCTTGACATTGCATTGATATTTGTTTGCAACTTCATATGGTCATACTGTAGCGTTTCCCCTTTGAGATAGCAACTCTTAGTGTGGATGTATATATGATGTGGCCATTACTTTAAATAATATACACAGCCCTAAACTGTTCTCTCTAGATGTGCAGAAAGGACAGTGCTTTATATAAAAGCACTAATTGTACTGTACTACAATTAATGATTTTCCCAAAACAAACAAAATGGCGGAAAGGTATTTTTAAACACAAATGTGAAATGAAATTGCGCTAGAGGAACTAGATGAAAATACGAACAAAAGCACCAAATTTTGCTTTAACAAAAGAACTAAATGAAAATACGAACAAAAGCACCAAATTTTGGCCGATAGTCTGGCATCATCCCATACCTGTGTTAAAAGCGGCTTTCTGGTTGGTTTAGAGCAGGTGAGCTTGTCGTCGAGCTCGCTCACCTGCTTTTTTCCCGAGCTCACCTGCTTTTCGCCCGAACTCACCTGCTTATAAACCAATCAGAGTCGCCCATATATGATGATGTTTTGTTTCAGCAGCGCGAAATCCTGCTGCAGGGGAGTGCAAGCAAGAGCCAGGAAAATAATATATAGTATTAAATATGAAAAGAACAAAACGTTTTGAAGCTATATCCAACGAGCAATTAAAACAAAGACAGCATAATCTTGAAAACAAAAATATAACAGACAATGAAAAGAAAGCAGAACGTTTATTCAAGCAATATCTTGCAGAAATTGGCGAAGATTAAAATTTTTGCGAGTTCAGCGAGGAAAAACTTGATAAACATCTTGCCAAGTTTTGGTTCGTTGCCAGAACAAAGAATGCATGGGCAAAAATATAAAATTGGATCTCTTGAAACTACCAGATATAGTTTGAACAGAGTTCTGAAACGTTATGGCCACAAATTCGATATAACAAAGAGGGAATGCACGGCATTTACTGCAAGCATCAAAGCCTATGATGATGCAACGACTGAAATGAAACAAGAAGGAAAGGGATTCACCAAGAATCACGCTGCTGTCAGCCTTGAAGGTAAAATATAGCAAGAAATTATAATTACTACATTTATGTAAACGTTATGCATTCCTTTTTATATGCAACAACAGAAATTCCCTCAATCCTAATTTCAAACTTTGATATTTCTTCAGACTTGTACGACATATATCATAGTCGACATCTTGACCCTGATGCAGGACCAAGAGCTCTCCAAAACAAGGTTCAGTGGGACATACGATTCTATTTTGCACGCAGAGGATCAGAGAACATGTACAATATGACGAAGACAACATTTACCATCAAAATGGACGAAAAGACAGGTATGCAGTATGTTGTGAAAGTTGAAGACGAAGCTACAAAAAACCACAAGCAAAACGAACATGACATTGTAACTGGCTATATGCCTGCTATAAACGATGACAAGTACTGCCCAGTAAAAAGCTTTATTTAATACACTCAAGCCCTTCACCCAGACTCTGAAAAGTTGTGGCAGACCCCTAAATACAATGTATTTCCCACTAATGGCCAAGAGATATGGTATGGCCCAGGAAATGTTGGCCACAACAAACTGGACAAGTTCATGTCTAACATTGCAAAAAAACTGTACATTGAAAGACAAAGGCTACACTAACCACAGCCTTCGAGCATCTGGAGTAACAACCTTGAAACGCAACGACTATAATGATAAGCAAAGCAAGTCCGTTACCGGCCACAGAAGCAGTGCAAGTTTGAACATATATCAAAAAGTTGCATCAGATGAAAAACTTAGAATGGGTTTAACACTTGGCTATGCACTTACTGGAGATCCTAGCTGTCTGACAAAAGAAAACAAGGTAGCCTGTGTTTACCAGCAGCATCCTCATGACAACCACCCCAAACAATCATCCAATGCAACCCACCTTTCTTTCCGTACCACTGACACTGGAAACCAAATTGTGCCTTTTCACAAGCGACAAGCTCCCCGTTTCACAGAAACTGCAACAATTACCAAATGACCATGTCTGCACAATCTCTAGAGAACAAACTCTTCAAGTTCTATAACAGCTAAGCAGTCTTCAACATATGATGACTCAATGTTCGAAGAAAACAATGCAGTTAGCGATGCAGAGTTGCTGAAAGCAGTAAATGAGTATGAAGAAGCTACAATATCAGAGAATGTTCAATTCATGCAGTCATCTCAGACTGACTCAAACAAAATACAGTGCATTTCCAGGCAAATATTGAAGAAGATGAGCCCACCTACATTCAGTAATTGCAAAATTGAAGGTGGAATTATTATTAACATTCATAAAGATTGACAACTTGACTGCAGTAGTGACTTGTGTTGAATGTTGAAAATGACATTTTTGCAGTAAAACATTTTAATATTTATGATCTTAATACTGTTATATAATAACATGACTGTTGATATGATATTTTATTAATGCTAATTTAATTAACTTCTAATAGTTGTATAATGTTGTTGCTTATGTTGATGTATCATTTCATTAATGTTAATTTAATATGAATATTTCACTATTGTTGCTCTTCTAAGATATTGTATGTTATGATACTGATAAATTATTAATTATATTTATACAAATGGTGGGTGATGCCAATAATTTTGTTCTGTTTTAAGCTTAATTAAATTTGCTTTTCTATATCTAAAAAATGCATGGTGCCACCTTAAGTAAAAAATAACAATAACAAATATGGCGGACAAGATTTAGTCGATAAACCTAAACTTTAAAGAACTTTTTTCGGTGACTAACCTACTGAGACTGACGAAAAACCAAAGGAAATAATGCAATAAAGGTAATCTAGAAGTAGATAAAGAAGTATGAAGTGCCCAGTGGTTTTTTGGCCGGGAAAATGTTGACAAAACATCGACGAATATATTGCGAAGAGCTAGTAGCTACAAATGTGTGTATGGGATAAAAACCAAACGTACTTGCAGGTTCGGTGAGTCCCATGGGCGTACCGGAAGGAAAAAATTAGGGGGGCGGAAAGAAAATTTCCCGACTTTTCGGGATTGTACCATTTTAGGGGTCGAAAAAATTTTCCGAACATACCAAGATTTTTCGGAACATCACACAAATTTTCCAAAAAACACTAAATTGACCATAAAATTGACTGAATTTTCGACAAAATTGACAGAATTTGTCCCATTTACTTTTATAACAAACCAAAATTGCCCGACTGTTAATATAATATTGCCCGACTGTTAATATAATATTGCCCGACTGCCCAACAAACTGGGGGAGGGGCTGCCCAACAAACTGGGGGGTGGGCTGCCCAACAAACTCGGGTGGCTGGAAGTTTCCCGAACTCACCTCGCTTCCCTCGGTGCGTCCAATCCCGGACTCACCTCCCTGCAAGTACGTTTGTTATATTATCCCATACCTGTGTTAAAAGCGGCTTTCTGATTGGTTTAGAGCAGGTGAGCTTGTCGTCGAGCTCACCTGCTTTTTGCCGAACTCACCTGCTTTTCGCCGGTAAACCTAAACTTTAAAGAACTTTTTTCGGTGACTAACATACTGCGACTGAAGAAAAACCAAAGAAAAAATGCAGGAAAGGTAATGTAGACGTAGATAAAGAAGTATTTTCTTACCCAGTGATTTTTTTGGCTGGGAAAATGTTCACAAAACATCGACGAATATATCGCGAAGAGCTACAAGTGTGTGTATGGCTCGGTGTATGGGATAAAAACCAAACGTACTTGCAGGTTCGATGAGTCCGGTATTGGACGCACCTCGGGTGGCTGGAAGTTTCCCGAACTCACCTCGCTTCGCTCGGTAAGTTCGGGAAACTTCCAGCCGCCCTCGGTGCGTCCAATCCCGGACTCGTCTCCCTGCAAGTACGTTTGTTATAGGACTGGGCTTTGGCGAGAGAATATGATGTTGACATTGAGAAGTTTCCAATTTTGTCATGCTAGTAATAAACAAGTAATCATGCGATGCTGCTCGTATCGGCTCGTCCAATTTTGGCAAAATTTCCATACATCACTCGTACTATTTTAAAATCCCTAATTGTACTCGCCATGGCATGATTACCTATACCGGCTATAAATGGCGCGCGGTCTTACTTCTGCGGGGACACGTATATTTTATTAGACACCTGCAGTGTTACTTCAGCCGGAAACCTAGCTAAATGAATATATTTATACAGAATAACTACATAGCAGGAAACCTAAACTAAAATAACAGTTTGTATTGGATAGCTATATCACTTCTGAATTGTTTTCTCAATAGAGGGTACGCAAAAGAGTCATCTTTTATTGATTGTGTTACGTGCAAGAGTAAAGGTTTCTCGCATGCAAATGAGACAAAATTGTGTCCAGATGATAATTGAATACGCTAGGAAAAAATATTATTACTGCTGACAACAGTAAATGTTTAGTCCAAATGTTTACCCAACGGCAAGTCGTCAAAACATCACGTAGTACGCATTTTTGAGAGGTATACTCTAATTACGTCAATACCATAATAGAACGATTTCATCATGATGACATGTCATACTCATGAAACTGCGAATATGCACCGCTGAGTGTGAAATGGAACGCGTTCCAGAATACGCTGAGAAAAATGGTAATTTTTATTCAATAATCATAATCAACCAATTAAAAGATCAGAATTTACGTGGTGTTGTATAAAAAGGATTAATATATCGAAACTTTTGACGTTTTTTTACATGCGGTAATTTGGGGTAGGGCACAAACATCACTTATTTAATAACAATATTAATTTCTTTGTCCATAAATTGATGTTACGTAGTACTTGAGGGCTTTGTTAGAACTAATAAGAAGTTTGCAACTGCCTTAGTCACATGTATTCACCTATTGATTTAGCAGTGTTTATTTAATATTAATTATTGTCTAAAAGATTTGTGTTTTTTATATTATTGACTGATAAAAGAATTCATTAATGAATCTTTAGTTATTTGTGACCTTCATAGATGATTTTTTCACCTGATCAGACAAATTATCCATCTTAACATTCTCTAACAGATCCAAAACTTTTCCCCTGCCTCGTTGCTTGTTTTTCTTCTGTTCATCGCGAGGAATCAGCTCCTTCAATTTCTTGAAACTCTCACCGTCCTCTTCGCCTAACTTAATTTCCTTTCGAATGCACTCGACTTGTACATAGCTGTCAAATTCGCCAGCATTCCAGCCCAGTGGTTCCATCGTAGCGTTGGCGTCAGTGATAATCTCAATCACTTCACTGAAGTTGTTCCTGAAGATCAACATCTTGTTGTGAAAATTCACATTATTACCATGGTTTTCCAACATTTCGCTTTCAATAAGAGAAAGAGGGAACGCGTGATCGTATTTTCTCCAACACCGTCGCGCTGTATCTTTGTTGTCGTTCTTCTCGTCGAGCAGCTTAAAAGGAGAACTGGTTAATACCTGAAACCGCAAGGCTTTTTTGTTTCTTTTCATCGTATTTTTGCGAAGTTCAGGCCACCAATCTTCGTTAATTTCGACAGCACGTAGCATCACCATTCGGAAAACAGCGGACGCCGTTTCTCCAAACGCAGAAGCTCCTTCGTCAGGTCTTGCATTTTCCCCACCGAAAGTAAAGATGTTGTTGTCGCCATCGACATTGCTTTGTATTGCCTCCAGCCACGAGCGTTGTTGATTCAGTACTTCAAGCCGTCCTTTTTTGTCGAGTTCTTCAAGAGCATGAAGAGCAATATTGTAACCAGGGTCGATATTCATGAATATTATATCTCCTTCCATGACGTTGATTTGAGCTATATATGTTATATATATAATTTGGCCTCAGCTAATTCCTAACCTTCCTCATTAAAGGCGGATACAAATATGGGAGGATGCGAACTCAGTTGACTTGTTTATATATAAATATACCTGAACATTTTATGTAAACAAAACACCACCTGCTCGCAAGGGCTTGCTGAAAATAAGGCGTGAAATATTTGTGCATCTGCTCAAATTATACCTATAAATGATTTAGACCTAAGTTAATTTAGATATGATTAATGTCTTAATGAGCAATTTTATATTTTAAAGCATATAAAAATATTTTATCGCCGTAAAATGTTCGTTAGTTTGAATTTTTTTGACTTTATAATAAATATTACACATACCGGTTTTTGCCCAGTTTTACCTGCAGTGTTACATCGACGATTGCTTAAAGAAACACTATGGGCTAGTTAGTAGTTAAAAAATAACTATATCAATTTTCAAAAATTTCTGGTGGTGTTAATTATTATTAGAGAACTTAAGCAAGCGACCTTGTTGGTACGTTCGCCAACCGGAAGTCAAACGAATTGTTATAGATGGCGAGTGGCCCCTTGTAGAATCCGACATATTTATAACCTATTTTATACCTATATTTTCTCTATTTAGTCCTATTTTTTCCCTATTTTTTCCGTGATTATCTAAGTTGGAGCGGTCAAAACTCCACAGTTACAAGCACAGTTATTCAACGCAGTGTGTTCCGTCTGGGAAAGTTTATTAGCCAGAACAGGAGCCAGGCGATGAACAATACCATCTTGTTTATTTTCAAACGGGACAGGTAGGCCGTATTCTCTGGCCTCAAAAGTCGCCTAGAAAAATATTTCCGCTGCCATCGGTCTCCATCTAATTTTAATTTATATAAATCTATAGATTTTGACACGCTAAGTATGAATTTCAATGTTGTCACTCGCACAAACCTGCGGTTTTTGAGTATATTGCCACCAAAGTTCATTATCTTTCACGGCTTCGAAACAGGATGGCCGCCATTTTTTCCTGGGTACTTCGTGTAATATATGATGAACGGTACTAGTTCCAGACCCTACTTAAGCTATTTTCACGCGGTCGAACGGAGGGTTATCGTGATTAGCCATCATATGTGTTTGTTTTATCATTCCGTAAATTGATGTTAAAAAATGAAAGTAGAAATAAATGAATTAACTTAGTTAACCTTTTATGAAAGGCCTCTGCGGCCAAGAGTAGCATTTAAGGTGGCTCCCTATAAACGTTCCTAGAGGTATGTGTATCTAGGTTTCAATTGGCTACCCCACCTTAAAAAGATTCCCCACATGTGTTGAGAAGCTAAATAGAAAAAAAGGTTTTGCAATATATCACCTTCACTCAAAAGACATCTCCAAACTATAATAAGAATAAAGACCGGCCTTGATACACTAGGAAAAGTTTCCAAAAAAAGTTTCTGAAACAGACGTTTCCGAAACAAATGGGCATACACATTTTAAATAATTTACTCAGGAAGTATTTCCTTGCAGGTATTTGATTATGTATGTTAAAAAGCCATTTTGTTCAAAAATTAGAAAAAAAGAGATTAATAGCAATGTACGGTGCTACAGACATAGTTTGCTTTACTGTACCATAATGCGATGAATCGCTCGGTTTTTCCAAATTCCAAAACTCTTTTCGTGCGGCCATCTTTTATCATGAAATCCAATGCCTGAAATTTTCATGGTCACGTGGCTTGAAATGGCTCTAACAACGACACAAGTTTCCGAAGTAAAAATTTCGGTTTCCCAAAGAAACGTTTGTTTCAGAAACCCGTTTCAGAAACTTTTCCCAGTGTATCAAGGACTTAATTTAACTTCAAAGGTCATCTATGTCTTCAAGATCGCCGTCATCAGAAACTTCATCATTATCGGATTCATTTTGGCTATTCTCTTCATCTTCATCAACGTCACCATTCTGACAGCCAACGCAAGAACACAATTCCGTGCACTTTAATCCACCTTTCTGACATGAACATC